TGCCTCCGTCCCGAGCGAGCCTCCGAGGTTTGGGGGTGCCGCGTGGCCCCCGCGCCCGCAGAGCCTGCCTCCTCCGCCGGACTGCCCGCTGCCGGTGCGCGCTCCGGGCTGCGAGGAGCCGCCTCCGGCCACTGTTGCGAGGCGGACTGGAAACGAAGTCGCGGGGACGCACTTTGACTTGCATTCGAGGGACAGCTTGCACGCATTCATTCCAGCCGGGCTGACACTAACGCTCCCGGTCAGGACGGATAGAAAGTTCAGGGCCTTTCCCCGTCCTCCCGTGACGGCAAGAAGAGTGAATGAACCTTTCTCCTCCGGGAGATTACGTGCAGATTGAGCCCTTCCTCCCCTGCCGCCCCTCTCCTTCCCTAATGCGGTTGTGCTGGGTAAAAGTCGTCGTGGGGTATTATTTGCCAAGCCTGCTTTTAGATCGCCGATTTTAGGATATCGAATCCCTGGAAATTGTTGCTCACTTTTCTACATCTCAATGTGCTTTTGTGTTAAATAATGGGAAAATGAAACAAAGTAGCTGTTGGGAAAACCGGTGGCGGGGTAGATTGAGAGCACTTCCTAAGCGGTTGCTTTCTGTTGCCCATTTACAGATGAGGTCGATTTGATCGGACCTGTTTCTAAAAATGATTCGAATAGTTACTGTAATCAATGCAAGTTGTGGAATTAAAAACGGGGAAACCTTTTCTCAAAATTGCGTTGTACAGGAAGCTGCAACTTTGTTACATTCGTATTACTGTAGTTTGTATCAGGACGTTCCCAGTTAACTTGCACGTTCACTTCTACTATTTAGGTCTTTGCACCAAAAAAGGGACTTCAATTCGAACATCTTATTCTTAAGGGATTTACCTTTTTCCCCGAGTACTAGTTAAATAGCTAATTTTATTATTAAAATTAGTCTGGACAGGTATAAGGTTTATTATAAACTAATAATGTATTTAATATTCATTATGGTTTTTTTTTTTGAGAGATTTTCACTGTAGGGCGCATGCGCTCGCCAGACAGACAGAGAGAGACATAGAGACAGAAAGCGAGAAATCACCCCCCAGGGGGGATGGTCACGCCGCAATCCCTTCTCCTCCATTCTCCTCTAGGGATCTTGGGCACATACGCACATGCGCCCGGCGTGAGTTTTAAGCCACCGGGTCCGGGACGCGAACCGAGGTCGACTACGTGGGAGTCCAGCGACATAGCCATTACGCTAACTGCTGGTTCCCCAATATTCATTATGATTTTGAAATGAGGAAAACATGTGTAGGCATAACTCACTTCCTTTAATAAGCACCGATCACAATGCAAAATTGATCAAAATGTTAATTAGTGGTGATACCGGGTAAACGTGATTGTTCCTTTATTTGCATTCATTGTCCCAGGTTTTATTTGATACCGCAGTGTTGCTTGCCTCAGAGATGCACTTTCCTGGACACATCTTTAGAAAATTGAAGTGGCAAGTTAGTTGAACATATGTGTTAGCAACCCGCCTCCGGCCACTGTTGCGAGGCGGACTGGAAACGAAGTCGCGGGGACGCACTTTGACTTGCATTCGAGGGACAGCTTGCACGCATTCATTCCAGCCGGGCTGACACTAACGCTCCCGGTCAGGACGGATAGAAAGTTCAGGGCCTTTCCCCGTCCTCCCGTGACGGCAAGAAGAGTGAATGAACCTTTCTCCTCCGGGAGATTACGTGCAGATTGAGCCCTTCCTCCCCTGCCGCCCCTCTCCTTCCCTAATGCGGTTGTGCTGGGTAAAAGTCGTCGTGGGGTATTATTTGCCAAGCCTGCTTTTAGATCGCCGATTTTAGGATATCGAATCCCTGGAAATTGTTGCTCACTTTTCTACATCTCAATGTGCTTTTGTGTTAAATAATGGGAAAATGAAACAAAGTAGCTGTTGGGAAAACCGGTGGCGGGGTAGATTGAGAGCACTTCCTAAGCGGTTGCTTTCTGTTGCCCATTTACAGATGAGGTCGATTTGATCGGACCTGTTTCTAAAAATGATTCGAATAGTTACTGTAATCAATGCAAGTTGTGGAATTAAAAACGGGGAAACCTTTTCTCAAAATTGCGTTGTACAGGAAGCTGCAACTTTGTTACATTCGTATTACTGTAGTTTGTATCAGGACGTTCCCAGTTAACTTGCACGTTCACTTCTACTATTTAGGTCTTTGCACCAAAAAAGGGACTTCAATTCGAACATCTTATTCTTAAGGGATTTACCTTTTTCCCCGAGTACTAGTTAAATAGCTAATTTTATTATTAAAATTAGTCTGGACAGGTATAAGGTTTATTATAAACTAATAATGTATTTAATATTCATTATGGTTTTTTTTTTTGAGAGATTTTCACTGTAGGGCGCATGCGCTCGCCAGACAGACAGAGAGAGACATAGAGACAGAAAGCGAGAAATCACCCCCCAGGGGGGATGGTCACGCCGCAATCCCTTCTCCTCCATTCTCCTCTAGGGATCTTGGGCACATACGCACATGCGCCCGGCGTGAGTTTTAAGCCACCGGGTCCGGGACGCGAACCGAGGTCGACTACGTGGGAGTCCAGCGACATAGCCATTACGCTAACTGCTGGTTCCCCAATATTCATTATGATTTTGAAATGAGGAAAACATGTGTAGGCATAACTCACTTCCTTTAATAAGCACCGATCACAATGCAAAATTGATCAAAATGTTAATTAGTGGTGATACCGGGTAAACGTGATTGTTCCTTTATTTGCATTCATTGTCCCAGGTTTTATTTGATACCGCAGTGTTGCTTGCCTCAGAGATGCACTTTCCTGGACACATCTTTAGAAAATTGAAGTGGCAAGTTAGTTGAACATATGTGTTAGCAACACTTGGTTTATTCTGTTAAAGTATGATTTCAGTGCTTCTTAAGTTCTAGCATGGAGAAGGTAGCAAAGGGAATAGTTTGACTCCTTGTAATTTTCTTTTTAAAGGTATAGTAATAGAAACAAGTAATGGAATCAAATACAACAATTTAATTCCCCGATCATGCTTGAGCCAGCCTGAGCATTTTAGTAAGTGTGCTTTATCCAGTTGCCTGCTGACCTGAGGCTCTTGCAGTCTCAATGGCCTTTCATTCATAAATTCACCACAGTTTGGTCACTTACCGTGAAATGTGTATTACTTGTTTTCTGTGTGAAATAACGACTGCACATTATCTAGGATGGGCCTATTTTAAAATTTATTTTTAAAAATTGACAGAGGGCATGCATGTTCACCAGAAAGACAGACAGAGAAGTGAGAAGGCACCCTCCACCCCCGTGGTCACGCCACAGTTCCTTTTCCATTTCTCCCTCCTCTGGGGATTTTGGAGACTCAGCACGCACCCGGTATGGTTTTCAAGTCACAGATCGGTACTTGAACTGCACATTCGGCCATGCGGGATCCAACTTAACCACCAGGCCGTGGCCTGATCTTAACCACTGGTTTGTTAATGATACAGTTACTTTTTTTTTTTTTTTCAAAAGGGGAACTTGCGTTCCCCAAAAAGAGAAAGAGGAAAGAGACGCGAGAAATTGTTCCTTTATTTGCATTCATTGTCCCAGGTTTTATTTGATACCGCAGTGTTGCTTGCCTCAGAGATGCACTTTCCTGGACACATCTTTAGAAAATTGAAGTGGCAAGTTAGTTGAACATATGTGTTAGCAACACTTGGTTTATTCTGTTAAAGTATGATTTCAGTGCTTCTTAAGTTCTAGCATGGAGAAGGTAGCAAAGGGAATAGTTTGACTCCTTGTAATTTTCTTTTTAAAGGTATAGTAATAGAAACAAGTAATGGAATCAAATACAACAATTTAATTCCCCGATCATGCTTGAGCCAGCCTGAGCATTTTAGTAAGTGTGCTTTATCCAGTTGCCTGCTGACCTGAGGCTCTTGCAGTCTCAATGGCCTTTCATTCATAAATTCACCACAGTTTGGTCACTTACCGTGAAATGTGTATTACTTGTTTTCTGTGTGAAATAACGACTGCACATTATCTAGGATGGGCCTATTTTAAAATTTATTTTTAAAAATTGACAGAGGGCATGCATGTTCACCAGAAAGACAGACAGAGAAGTGAGAAGGCACCCTCCACCCCCGTGGTCACGCCACAGTTCCTTTTCCATTTCTCCCTCCTCTGGGGATTTTGGAGACTCAGCACGCACCCGGTATGGTTTTCAAGTCACAGATCGGTACTTGAA